CCAATAGGAACTGACCCGAGCCAATTTCTCAGCTCCTATTGGCTGGAAACTACCAGCCAATAGGAGTTGAGAGATTGGCCTGAGGGATGGGAGCAGTACAAATCTCTTTCCCCTCCTGGAGCTGAGAGCCGCATGGAGGATGCAGCTTGCAGTTTCAAACGAGCCTGCAGCAGGCAGGGAGCACAGTCTGTCTTGGGGGTGCTACAGGGCTGCTGGCTTAGGTAAGCACCTCCCAGCCAACTCCTGTCTCTGGCACCTCTGCCCCTCTCGTACCCCAACTCCCTTCCCCAGGTCACCATCCAAACCCTCTGCACCCCCTGCCGCAGGTCACAACTCCCTCCCAGACCCTGTTCCCCCTCCTACCCCACTCCCTCAGGCCAGAATCCTCTCCTGCAGACAAACACCTCTCAACACCCTCTCAAACCTGCCCCCCATTCCCCTGCCCCAAGTCACCACCTACGCCCTCTGCAGTCTGCATCCCCTTCTCCCCTTTTCAGGGTCACTGCTCCCTCCCAGACTCTGCACCCCCTCCTAATGCCCATCCCCCAGGCCAGGATTCTCTCCTGCACCCATGTCCCCTCCCTGACCCTACATCCCAATCCCCTGGCCCAGGTCACAACCCCCTCCTCCACTCAAACTCCCTCTCGGACCTCACACTGTCTTCTGCACCCCAGTCCCTTAACTGTGCACCCTTCTGTACACAGCCTCCATTCTAGACTCTGCACCCCCTCCACAGAAAAATGCGGTCCTTGACCTCTTTCCAAAATATTGGAGTGGCCCCCTGACAAAAATTATTGCCCACCCCTGCCAGTTATTGGCAGAGGGCTGTGGACCATTTGCTTTCTTCTGCTCTGTCTGCTTCCCCATTGCCCTAGCTCTCCTTCAGCCTTAAGAGCAAGGCCTCAGCCTGGGACTTGCCTGGTCAGAGCTCCCTTGCTTTGCCTTCCCTTCTTTAGTATTGCTGTGCTTCAGGTAGCCTCTCTAGTTTACTAGGCAGCCAGGTGCCTCCTGCGCTACAGCTGAGAGAAGAGTGCCCGTGCTCCTCTTTTCTAGAAGCCCTCCTTATAGTGCGTAGTAAGGTCCTGATTGGTTGTCTCTAGTCCTTTTCCAGTAGGCCCTTGGTCCCAAACCTCTCCCAGGTCTGGGTTTAGCCCTTATTTCCCCAGAGTGGGGTGACCATCCTACCGCACATTTTTCTTTTCCCCTCCTTTTAATGTTGACAAAGAGCCATTGTAGACTTCGTTGGCAGAACTGGCCTCTGCCAGTTTCCCAGAATGCCTGCCCTGGTGGCTCTGCTCAGTGTTTCAATCTCTGCTGCCCTGTAGGCATGCACCTCTCTCCTTTTAAAGCTCTGGGATGTATCTGACACCTCAGTGCACCTCTGCATTTGGGGAACAAATGAAACCTTGAAATGCTATTGTTCTACCCCGCTCTAGGAACACTGCACTAGGCAGACTGATGCTGCTGGGGGGGAGAGGTCAGATTGCTGTGCTTCTTTGACCTTCCTCAGCAGGAAGAGCTCACAGAGCTACTCATGATGCCACTCCCAGCAGCTGAACAGGCTGTGGAAAAACTCAGAGAATCCCAAGATGTGCAGGAAATCACCTCCACATTCCCACAACACTGCATTGTGGGATACATAAGAACGGCCATACCGAGTCAGACCAAAAGTCCATCTAGTCCAGTATCCTGTCTGCTGACAGTGGCTAATAACAGATGCCCCAGAAGGAGTGAACAGATCAGGTAATCATCAAGTGATCCCTCTCCTGTCATCCATTTTCCCTCTGAAACAGAGGCTAGGAACACTATTCCTACCCATCCTGACTAACAGCCATTGATGGACCTAACCACCATTAATTTATCTAGCTCTTTTTTGAACCCTGTTGAAGTCCTAATCTTCACAACATCCTTTGACAAGAAGTTCCACAGGTTGATTGTTGCTGCATGGAAAAAAACTTCATTTTGTGAATTTTAAACCTGCTGCCTATTAATTTCATTTGGTGACCCTTAGTTCTTTTATTGTGGGAATAAGTAAATAACTTTTCATTATTTGCTTATTCCATACCAGTCATGATTTTATAGACTTCTATCATATCCGCTCCACTTTTCTAAGCTGAAAAGTCCCAGGCTTTTTAATTTCTCTCCATATGGCATCCTTCCAAACCCCTAATAATTTTTGTTGCCTTTTTTAAAATCTTTTCCAAAGCCAATATATTTTTTTGAGATGAGGCGACCACATCTGTACACAGTATTCAAGATGTGGGAGTACCATGGATTTATATAGAGGCAATAAAACATGCTCTGTTATATCTTTTGTCCCTTTTTAAATGTTTCCTAACATTCTGCTTCCATTTTTTTTCTTTTTTGCTGCTGGACACTGTTTTCAGAGAACTACCCACAATGACTCCAAGATCTCTCTTGAGTAGTTATAGTTAAATTAGTCCCAATCATACTGTATGTATAGTTGGGATTATTTTTTCCAATATGCATTACTTTACATTTATCAACATTAAATTTCATTTGCCATTTTGTTGTCCAATCCCTTAGGCTATGTCTAGACTTCATTGCTTTTCCATTATACTGGAGGTATCCCAGAAAAGCAATGCTGCGTCCAAGGAATGTATCCACTTTTCTGAAAAAAATTTCAAAAAAGTGGATGCACTCTTTCGCCATTCCTGTAAACCTCATTCTACGAGGCATAAGACGTGTTGAAAGAGCACTTTTTTCTAAAATTTGGCAGTGTAGACATGCCAAATTTCAGAAAAGTCTCTTTTGAAAGTAAATTGGAAAAAGATACGCCATTTGCATACAAACGTGTGGACAAGGGGGATCCAGTGGATATAGTGTACTTAGATTTCCAGAAAGCCTTGACAAGGTCCCTCACCAAAGGCTCTTAAGTAAAGTAAGTTGTCATGGGATAAGAGGGAAAGTCCTTTCATGGACTGAGAACTGGTTAAAAGACAGGAAACAAAGGGTAGGAATAAATGGTCAGTTTTCAGAGTGGAGAGAGGTAACTGGTGGGGTCCCCCAAAGGTCTGTCTTGGGACCAATCTTATTCACACTATTTATAAATGACCTGGAGAAAGGCGTAAACAGTGAGGTGACAAAATTTGCAGATGATACTAAACTGGTCAAGATAGTTAAGACCAAAGCAGACTGTGAAGAGCTTCAAAAAGATCTCATCAAACTAAGGCTACGTCTAGACAGTGCCACTTGCTGCTAAAAAAATGTTTGCCTTTCAGGGTTTTTTTTAAAGCACTGTGAACAACCAAAGGCTTGTGGTTCAATTGTCAGTGTAGTCAAAGCCTAAGATGATGTCTAACCTTAAAACCAACCACGTGTCCCATTTCAGTGTGTAGAAACTTCAGTGATCAGAGGGATCCTCCATCGCTGTATTAAGAATTCTTGTGTCAACTGAGCGACTGCCTAGGAAAGAGATGGATTACTGGCAGCAGCACAACCAAATCCATCACTGCAGTGAGTATCTGTAACAAAGTGCTACAGCAACGAATCAACAGCTGGGCCAAGGTAGTGTTTTCCATGTAGCTTTGTCTCTGGGCATATCTTGGGATCAACATGGCTACAACACTGCAAGCAGCATATAACGAGATGCAGGCTGTAGAGAGAGGCACTAAGACCAATCAGCCCACCAGACTGAACTGAATGGCTTGTTTTACACACTACAGATCCTATGCCTGCATACCCCTGTAGTGCAGGTGCACATTACAGCAATGGAAGGAGGTTTTCCTTCACTGTGGGAACACCAAATGGTCAAGGGTAGCTAGGGTGATAGAACCATTCTTCTTTCAACCTAACTGCTTTTTTCATAAGCTATGGAGGACGCTGATCATCTTGTCCCAATTTAAAATGCTCTGCTCCGTGGTCCCCATAAAGCACTGAAACGTCCCAGAAATTCCAATATTTCAGCAGGGGGTGGGAGTGAGAGGGAGAAATCCCCAATACTCCTCACTGGATCTGGCTTGTGGGGAAGACGCAATCTGGCCAATGGGAGCAAAGGGGAAAGCCTCCAGGAAGCATGTTTCTGTGAGGCAGTTCCCCCAGCCGGGAAAAGGGAAGTGACAGTGAGCAGAATCTAGCCAATGGGAGCAGCGGGAGGCCATGTCTGAAAGCGGCACAAAAGCAAGTAAGTGCTCTCCCCCCCGCCAAGACCTTGCACCCCACCCCCCTCACTCACCACCCTGCCAAGACCCTTACCCCCACCGCCCTCACTCATCATCCTGCCAAGACCTCACTCCCCTCACTCACCGCCCTGCCAAGACCCTGCGTCCCCACCCCCTCATTCGCCACCCTGCCAAGACCCTGCACCTCCACGCCCTTCACTCACCATCCTGCCAACGGCTTTGTCAGATCATGTGCCTCAACTTTTGGCGTGGAAAATATGGTGACTATATAGGTAGGGCATAGCTATGGAATTTGTGGGTGTAGGACATGGGTGGCTGGCACCCTAGGCTGGGAAAGGCTTTGCCTTCCCAAACCGCCAGTTTGGCCCTCCCCATGCTCCACCCCCAGAACGCCTGCTGTAGGCATTCTGGGGGTGGAGTGTTGCTGTACCCAGTGCCTGCCCTGCCCTCCTGGCCGGCGAGGCTGGAGCTGCACATCCTCTGTCCTCCCCATACTCTGGGGCTGGGAATGCTCAGGCCAGGCATGTGCTTGCTCATCCACCCTCTTTCCCGTGGGGGAGGGGCATGCACGTAGTGGGGTGGTGAGAAGGCAGCTTGGCTTCTGTGGGGGGCGGGGTCCCAGCAGAAGAGGCGGGGTTGGGGCTGGGGTTGGGGCTTGCCTCCCCCAGCCCTACCTTCATCGACCTCCCATGGTTCAGGACCATCCATATTGCAAGTTTGAAATTGTGTTGTAGTCACATCAGGTGCAATTGTGTGATAAGTGGGTAATAATATATGATAGATTTCTGTGGCCTCTAGTACAGCTCAAGAGCAGCAGGTAAGGAAACATTAGACAGCAAGGGAAGAAATCAAAACCGTGTTTTGCTTTGTATTCAGATGTAGGAAAATGACACCCAAACATGCAGAAACTTCAGGACTACTTAGGTAAAGTAACTTAGGTGGAGAGATGTCCAACTCTCCACACATCTTTTAGGGTATTTGAAGGGTCCTGGATCCTCTGAGATAGATGTAGGGGCTGTAGAAGAGAGAAACTCTGGTGCCGCACAGGTAAAAATATGAGGAAATAGGAGAGAAAGCTGAAAAATCATTCTGCAGTCAGAAAAGCTGGGTGGTCTTTTCTACTTTACAGTCAGAGCTCAGAACATTCTCCTAAATATCCCAAGGGAGATGGATGCAGACCAGCTGTTGAAGTGCTAGAAACCTTTAGGATATGCAAACTAGAAGCTTACTTTGACTGAAAATACTTGTCATTCTTTAAAGCATCTAGAATGTAACTAAAGTGTCTCTAGAGCTGAATTTGTTGCTAGTGGAATTCAGTGTACTGGGAACAAAACCCTGCTGCCTGTCTATCAAAGGCAGCCTCATGACAGGCCCTTCTTCTGATGTGGCTTTTCTCCATGGAACTGCTGATCGTCAGCCCCTTTTGCATCGTCATTTGGGGGTAAATCAGCATCTGCTTGGAGGCAAAAGACAAGAAGCAAGAGAAGGGATTGCTTATTTAAGTGATTAAAGTGCTATTGAAGTTAATAAAAAGAACAATGATAATTAGCTATATTTTTAAAGAGGCCCGTTAGCCCCCCCACTTCTGGCAGGCAATGAAAAGTAAAATAAAATCACCATTTTAAATGCAAACAAGCAAGAGTGCCCAATGAAGGAAAGAGAAATGGGCATATGCATGGAGCCAAATCTGAAAACATCTTGGAAAGCAATATTGTAGGGGCTTTTTTGGTTTGTTTTTAAATAAAGTGGGAATGATGCCCTGAGACAAATACCAGGAAAGAATGAGCGCTATCCCACAGGATCCAAAATTAAAAATAGAATAGTGAGATTCCTGAATAGCAGGTGGTGTTTGGGTATAGATTCCAGTCAGCACAAGGTTATTGGACCAGGTTTGGGACAAAACAAGGGTCTGCTCCATTAACAGAGTCAATCTGCAATTGTGTAGGGAGCCAAGACAGAGAGGAGATTGCAGGGCAGTTGTAAAAATTGTTATGATCATTCAAGCCAATGAGCAAACAAACTGCTGCATTCTGAACTTGAAGAAAGAGATAACAGTCCTTCGAAGAGCAATAACTAAGCCTCATGCTCACCAGCATTTCTGCTGCTCACAGTTGTGGGATAGAGAATGATGCAGCAGGTGCTAATTTCCAACAGGTGGGAATTTTTTATGTGGCTAAAAGTGCACCAACAATTCTTAACCTGACTCCCTCTTTCTGAACAAATCTTCCAACCAGTGGAGATATGTAGGCAGTGCAGTTGGGCTTGAGTCAGTGATGTCTGGTCCACATTGCACAGCTTTTGTTTTTTCAGGGTCGAGGGTGGGTGAGCTCCAGAACATCCAGGCAAGTCTTCAACCAAAGAGGGAAATCTGTAGTATTGACAGGCAAAGAGAGCGAATAACATGGCAGAGACAGCAGCTCCTTGAGGCATTCCAGGGGAGATCCTGGAAGCATGTCCCTCAAAACTCCTAATGATGACACAGAATGGTCTCTTCAGTACTGCCTGATTCATCTTTCATGTCCACGTGGAAAACATGGGAGGACAGCTCCTGGCACACTAGCAAACCTCACTAAAAATGACCTATAGCCACTGGCATTAAGTTCACTGAACGATCTGAGGTAGATGCTAATTTGAAATCAGCAGAGGACCAGTCATCTTTATGCTGTGGATTCCCTTCACATATCCCCTCCTAAACTGTCCTCTGCCAGCCAAACTGAAATGTATGCCAGTTGTTCTAACATCTTCTGGTGTCTGTCTAACTGCTCCTTTTAGGCCATTCTCTTCAGTTTTTCACCACACCACCCTTCCCTGGGCTGTGATATCCACTGCCCTGTATATATAGACTCACACATCCAGGATGTGATTGAATTGTGATGATTCTTCCCACACAAAGCACCTCAACAATCTGGGCTCCCCCACCCCCATTCCTATGGCTAAAACTCTTGATTGTCTCACATCTTGACTTTCACAACCGCCTCCTTGCCAGTGTATCAAATGCCACCTGGTCCTCTCCTTCAAATCTGTTCAAAATGCTACTTTCTGAAATACTTCCTGACCTGTTGCACCACTCATGACACTCCCCTTTTTGCTTCCCTTCACAGGCACTTTCTTTTCCTCCACATCAAATACATATCTGCAAAGACACTGCACAATCATCTTTTTCCTCCTAAAGATGATCCTTCCCAATACCAGCTAAACATTTGACTGTGGCTAGCTGGTCTTGTGATGTGATGGTCGGTTATGATGCCAGTCATAATTGTCTCACTGTTACCTCGTGCTTTCCATTTGGTACTGCTGTCAAATGTCCAGTCAATAATACATTAATCATCTGATCTCAACTTAGCACGATAAACAAGGGATTACGTTGCCATACTCAATGCTTGCTTTTATTCATACCTCTGACCACTAAATGCTTAGTTTGTAAAGTCGCTTTGTGTGCATGTAGTCTATACTGTACATGTCGCTGCTCTATTGTTTTGTGAAACTCTGTGAAGTGGCTTGACAGATGGATCACGCGAAAGACACTGAACAAAAACAACACTGCTTATTGTTGTATTTTGTCAAAGCCCCCTATGGTTTAGTCCAGGGTTTCCCAAATGGTGAACCCCTGGGTTCCGCAAAGTGAAATTAAGGGTTCCATGAGAAAATTCCATTACAATCACATTTTATGATATAATAACAATAATAATTAATATTTAAGAAATTATGCATTTTATTGAAAACAATTTTCATTTGTGTTTGCCACGATAAGTGTCCCTGTGTAATGCCAGCTTAGCCAGAGAGTGGGGACTATGAGGTCACTACTCAGCACTGTGTGCACAGTCAGTCAGTGGTGTGATCGCCTGTTATATATCACTGTAAATCCCCGCACTCACTCTCAGGGAGCATGGATCACGTGGGTGACTGAATATGAATGCTGTATATTAGCACCACATCGGACAAAGTTGAAGCTTCAGCTGTCAAACCAGTTTCTGTTATTAGGGGTTCTGCAAAATACTTTCAAGTTTAAAAGGGTTCTGTGGCCAAATAAAATTGGGAAACACTGGTTTAGATCATTCCAGGCAGTGACTTAGTACTTGATAGTTTTGTTCATTTCTGGGATGGCATCTGACAAGTGAGGATGAAGGAATCTATATCAACGAAGGGCCTGTTCTTGTGACGCATTATTGTGCATGAGTAAACCTGGCTCTGCAGGGAGGCCTTCTGAAACCAAGACTGCTCTGCATGGCTACAGGTTCCAGCTATGTGGAAGACAGTGCCAGATCTTCAGGGGTTACATTATAAGCCACGAGAGTGTGCATGACCTTGTCTTCACTCCGATAACAAAACAGTATCCCGGCAATACCTGCCCTGGCATGGCTTTGCTGATGGTATGGCTTTGATATTAAAGGATGGTTAGAAAACCACAAGAGAGTCTACAGCATTAAGAATTGTTTTAGGAGGAGTGGAGCAGAATGAGGGAAATTCTCCTGAAATTTTCTATGCCTCATGAGGACAAAAACTGTGGCTAAGAGGAATGGGAATTTCTAAGACAATGGTGATGTGTTTTCCAATGGTGGGAATACACACCATGCTCAGAGGGGCTAAACCAGTGAGGGTGGACCTCCATGAATGTATCTAGCTTTTTTTTAAACTCTGTTATAGTCCTAGCCTTCACAGCCTCCTCTGGCAAGGAGTTCCACAGATTGACTGTGCGCTGTGTGAAGAACTTTCTTTTATTCATTTTAAACCTGCTACCCATTAATTTCATTTGGTGTTCTCTAGTTCTTATATTATTGGAACAAGTAAATAATTTTTCTTTATTCAGCCTCTCCACACCACTCATGATTTTATATACCTCTATCATATCAGTTTTAAGTAGTCTAACATCTGCATAGTTAATCAGATTGCCTTGAAGTGTGGCTGCTTCATGGGGGCACAGAGCTCTGCTAGTGATTGAAATTCATGGCCATTTGGCCAAGGGGTGCCTGAGATACAACTCCTGGAGGAGGAAAACAAGAGCTTTTCACAAATCAATTAATGACAATCATTTTTGCTCACAGAGATCAAGCTGGAATTCTGAGCATCACAGCTAATTCCCACACTCAAGTACATGGCATGCACCAGACATTTGGGGAAAGTCAAATTCAAAGTTTCATTGCAAAAGAAATTGCTTCTCTTCTTGGCACATCTAGGATTATGTGGTGCATGTGTGGAGGAAGAGGCTAAAGTTACGTTACAGTCATTGAAACTAAGTTGCACCCAGCCAATGTGCCAAGCCTGGACAGAAAGCTGAAGTTTTAAAAAAAAGCAAAAAAAAGCAGGTTAATTGTTCCAATCTGCCTCCGCCTCTTTCAGAGGGGGCTTTTTATTTTGAACAAAAGTGATGAGAGCAACCAGAAGATAGGGAATCTTTAGAGTCAGGCCAAAAGATATTATCTGGGTTACCTTGTTGACTGTCAATAACATGCTGGCCATGGGGTAGGTCTGCCCATCCCCATAAATGCACTAGAGGTGGGTCTGTCTCAGGGTCTGGTCAACCACCAGGATCAGCTACCACTGTGCCAGTGTTTGTCCAAACACAGTGTCCACTAGGGCATGCAGTTGTAGCTGGCCAAGGCTCACAAGTATTGTCACTTGGTGGTAGGGCATGGCTGGGCACAGGTCTCTCCAGAATAGGCCTGGATGAAAGAACAGTCCATGATGGGGAACTGCTGCTGAAGGTGACCAAACCTGGCCTCATGTGAAGCAGTGGCTGATGTGAGTGGACACTGTACCAGTCCTGGGTTTTGGAAAGTGCAGTAACAAGGGCCTCCCTCCCCTAACATGGCCCAGAGGAGTTACATGGGGCGTTGGGGTGGCTTGACTCCAAGGGGCATGGCTGCAGTCACCCCGGAGACAGATTAGACTTAGAGGTTGCTCAGAAAATGGAAGGCAGGGCTGGGCCAGTAGGGGCCCATGTCAATGCAATGGCCCTGGGTGACACTGGGCTCTTCACTGGCAGGAAATCTTTCATCGGGTGCATGACCACATTCAAGGTGATAGGGTGATGCTGCATAAAGCTAGGCCCTCCCCTAAGGAGGGGGAGGATAGGCAGGGAAGCTCCATAACGAACTGTTTAGCTATCTTAGTGACAGAGCATTGCTCCGGTTGCAGGCATTGCCAGCAAGCATCTCTCAGTTCCTGGGCCACGGTTTGAAGCTGAGCCCCCGAAACTGGCATGGGAAGGTTTTGGGGGTGATGTCTAACACACCTTGGATTGCAGCCTTTACATCCCGACAAGCACATGGCTCCTCGTCGGAGCAGGCTCAATACGCAGCCTAGGACGTCCCTGTTACATCCGGGGTCAGCAGGTGACCCACTGAGTCAGATTCCAGCCTGTGGCCAGGGCAATTAGGAGCACCTCTGGATTGTCCTCAGGCCTCAGTTTCAAGAGGCGGAGTAGTGTTGAGGGGGGCGTGAGCACTCCTGTGCCTCCAGCGGACCAGGCAGTAAAGTGATCAGTGGCTGGGCATG